CCGAGTTGCCGAGTTGTCGAGCCGCCGTAATGCTGTGCCGCCCTGACCTGCCGGCCTTGGTTCCCCCTTCTGTGCCAGCTCTTCAGCCGGCCGTCTTCACCGCTGCTCTCCACCGCCCTCTTCCCCCTCCCCTAGCGGCGGTCAGCTGCTGCAGCCGTGGCGATGGCAGACGCTGTCCTCCGCCTGGACGCGGAGGGTCAGGAGATCGACTTAGAGGTGTGGCTCGCCGACCTCCGCTGCTCGTTGAGGGGACAACGCCAGGATGACCAGTCTCTGGCCGTTCACGGCAACGGTAAGATCCCCTGCCCCGACCCGCCTGCTGCCCTCTCTGACGCCCCCACGCCCGCTGAGCGTGAGGCCTTTGCAGCTGCTGAACTCGCTTGCTCCGTCTGGGAGTCGCGTGACGCAATTGCGCAGCTTGCTATCAGTCGCGCCCTCCCCCTGTCTGAGCGCCCCCGTTATCAGGCCCTAAAGACTGCGTAGACGTACTTACAGTGGCGGGAAGTATTGCCCGGATAATTGCCTTAAAACATTTCTCGTACCGGTTTGGTGCCTTTTTTGTTTAGTTACGAATCAAATTTCGGCATTGGCTGTAAAGTAGTAATGTAGTGTATGTGACAGATGCTTGGTGCAGTTATATATGGGTCATTTTTTTACCAAGGACGAGATTTCGTTCACGTGGGTGCATCCGGACAGTTCATGCCAAGCAGCGTACTAGATCTATTTCCTAATTTTGCCTTTTCTACTTACTTGCCCTCGCGACTATCGCGTAGTCAGGAGATATGCTAGGACCGCTGCGACGATTAGGCCGTCATGAAACCGATAGATGAGGCGCGCCGCGCACGGATCATTACCCTGTTGCGGAGGGGGTATAGCACTCGTCGAATCGCTAAAAAGCTAGGCGTGGGCAAGAGCACGGTCCACGATTATTGACTTAAGGCAATTGAAGAGTCTAGCCTCAATGTCGTGCGTCCTACGATGCCCTCAGTCGGTCGCCCTCGCTTAGTAACAGAGAGAATTTGCCGCGGCATAGTTCGTTCGATTACTACCGGGGAGGCCAAAACCTCCGCTCTCGTGGCAAAGATTGTCGAGATGTAGCACGGCATCACGCTGCATTCTAGGACGGTGCGTAATGCTTTGAATAGCAGCGGACTTGTCGCCATCCAGCAGCCCATGAAGCCGCGACTCTCTCGAAAAAACATACGCGATAGGCTAGAATGGGCCTGTGCCCACGCCGACTGGACGGTTGACGATTGGAAGCGGGTGATCTGGTCGGATGAGACTAAGATCAATCAGTTTGCTTCCGTCGGAAGCTCCTATGCCTGGGTTCGCGAAGGTGCTGCCCTCCAAAGCCACCAAATCAAGCAGACCGTCAAACACGGGGGTGGCTGCTTGATGATTTGGGGGTGCATGTTGTATGATGGCGCGGGTTTCATGTGCAAAATAGACGGTAGGATGGACGGACCGCTCTATCTAAGTATACTGCAGGACGAGCTCAATAGTACGATTGTGTTTTACCAGCTTTCACCCTCGGAAACTATCTTCCAGCCCGACAACGACCCGAAGCACAAGTCGCGTATCGTGCAGGAGTGGCTTAGAGAGCAAGAGTTTGGGGTGCTAGACTGGCCGTCTTCCTCACCCGACCTCAACCCAATAAAGCATTTATGGGCTCATCTCAAGAGGCAGCTGGCCAAGCACGAGAAGACTCCCACTGGTATGCTGGACCTTTGGGAGCGTGTGCAGGAGGAATGGGAGAAGATCCCGGTGGATGTGTGCACCCACCTGGTGGAAAGCATGCCCAGGAGGGTGAGGGCGGTGATTAAGGCGAAAGGGCGGTGGACTAGGTACTAGTTTGGGGTTGATGTAACTTGCTGCTTGTGCCTGGCAATAATTGTCCGCATGTACCATGATTGTTAATTTATGTTATTTGTTGAAAACATCAATATGTTTGTGAGATGTAAGGTATGGGCGTAAAACCTTACCCCAGCCTACATACACTAGGCACAACAGAAGATTAAGGCTTAATGCCCATGACCCCCAAAAATGTCAAAATTCCTCTAAGTCACAAACATGTGGACAATACTTTCCGCCACTGTAGATGTTGTTATTGCACGCTATTCTACTCCCTCCTCCGCCTCTGCCGGTCGTCTCCTCCTCCCCCTGCTCTTCCCTGACCTTACGTCTTTTCCCACTGTCGCTGATCTCGCCACTCACTTGCGCGCACTAGAGACTAGCTACCGCGTTGCTAGCACTAAGGCTCAGCTTCTTATACTGCTTCCCCCCCTCGGCGCTACCCTCTACTTCCTTGCCACGCGCCTTCCTGACCGCCTAGCCACTGCCCGCAACCACTTCCTTGCCCTCCACCCTCCTGACCTCACCCTCACTGACCTTGTCACTACCCTGACTGCGATAGAGACTCGCCAGCGCACTATCGCTCAATCGAGGGGTACTGCGGCGGTCCGTATCTTCCAGGGCTGTGCTCCCTCCCAGTGCACTTACTTTGACGCCTTTGCCGCTGTTGCTGAGACTGCTATGGCGGCCTCAGCGCATTCGCGTCAGGGTAGGGGACGCCGAGCCCAGAGGGGGCGTGGCAGCGGGAGGGGTGGCGGGGGTGGCGAGGATGGCGTAGGTGGCGGAGGTGGCGGAGGTGGTGGAGGGGACGGTGGTGCAGCCGAGGAGACCGGTGCTGGTGCATTGGAGCAGTTGCCTCATCATCATCAGCAGCAGCAGCAGCAGCCTCAGTAGCAGCCGCAGCAGCCTCAGCAGCAGCAGCAGCAGCAGTCGCCGTCGGAGCCCCCGCCGCCGTGGTGGCCTGGTGGTTCTGGTGGTGGTGGGGGACGCAGCTCGGTGTCGGGTGGCCGCTCTAGTGTGGTCACCTGCCAGTACCAGCGTCAGTCTGGCCCCCGCCGCGGAACCATCTGTGATCGCCCTGGTCACACCGCCATATGCTGCTACCGCCGTCTCGACGACCTCTTCCGTCTCTGCTTCGGCCCCACGGCGGACCGCCCTGACTAGTACAGCCTGGTGCGTCGTTGTCTGCCTGTCTTTGTGTAAGTGTGTCCGCTGTGTGTAGTCTAGGTTCCTCTGCCGCTTCAGGCATAGAACCCCCTGCCTTGTTTAGCCTAGGCTCCACGCTAGCCCCTCCGCCGGCGGACGCTACTACTTCGATCTCCTTCACGCTTTACTCTGGAGCGTCTGCCTGCTTCTTCCGCGACCACACTTTGCTTACGCCTCTTGCCGCCCCTGCCACTGTCGCACTTGCTGACCCCTCCTCATGTCCGGTAGTTGCCCGTAGCTCCACCACCCTTCCCTGTCCGGCGGTCCCCTCTGGTTCTCTTACAGGATTGCACACCCCCTCGTTCTCCAGGAACCTAATTGGTGTCGGGTGACTTCAGGACCTCGGCGTCACCACTACGTTCCCTGGACACGAGCGGTACGTGGTCTGTACCGAGGCCGCCACTGGTGCTCCTCTGACCACGTTCCCCCGGGACCCTGTGTCTGGCCTGTTTACGCTTGACACTGCGTCACCCCCGGTAAGGGCGTCCCCCCAGGTACCTGCATCGACCTAGGTCGCTGCGGCTTGCTCGTGTCGGTCGCTTACTCACACGTCGCAGCTGTGGCACTACCGCCTAGGTAGCCCCGCACTCCCGCATCTGCATCACATGTCCCATTATAGTCTTGTCTTTGGTCTCCCTGCATCGCTCCCTGCCCTCTCTTCCTCGGCTGCGCCGCCGTGCATGCCTTGCGTCGAGGGCCGGCTGCGTCGTGCTCCTCACTCCTCCTCGCTTCCCGCTACCACTGCGCCACTCCAGACCCTGCACCTGGACGTCTGGGGCCCATCCCCAGTCCCTAAGCCGCGTTAAGAGCGCTACTTTCTAGTGCTTGTCAACGACTACACGCGCTAAACCACGGTGTTTCCATTGGAGCGGAAGGCCGATGTGCCTGACGTTCTTATCCTGTAGGTCGCAGCTGCGCGAGTCCACCGCGGCCTCCCTGTGCTGCGTCTCCACTACGACCATGGCGTCGAGTTCGAACCGGTCGGCTTGGCCAGTTCAGTCGTGCGGAGGGCATCACCTAGTCGTACACCCTGCCGAACTCCCCGCAACAGAATGGGGTCACTGAGCGACGCATCGGTTTGGTCATGGAGCTGGCTCGTACCTCCATGATCCATGCTGATGCACCCCATTTTTTGTGGCCGTTCGCTGTTCACTACGTCGCTCACCAGCTTAACCTCCGGCCGCACTCCCAGCGGCTGCAGGTTTCGCCGACCCTTCTCTGGACCGGATTCCCTGGTGACGCATCTGCGTTCCACGTTTGGGGCTGCCTTGCTTACATTTGCGTCTCTGGTATGGACAAGCTTACTTTCCGCACTGCCCCTTGTGTCTTCCTTGGCTTTCCCCTCGACGCGTCTGACTGGCACTTTTACCCCCCGCCGTCTCACTACTTCTTTCACTCGCAAGATGTCACTTTTGATGGGTGTGTCTCCTTCTACCACCGCTTTCCCCACCGCGGTCTCTTGGTTTCCCCGCCCATGTTTCTGGTTCCCACTCCCCCGGTAGCCCTTGCTCCTCTCCCTCCCCGTCCCGCCCCGTCTGGTGTGTCTCACGCACTCCCCTCCAGTCGGTTGTCCCGGTCAAGGAGTCGGCTGACTCTGGTGGCCCCTCGGCATCGTTATCGCCGCCTGTCTCTGCCCCGGTGTCTCCTCTTCTATCGTTGCCGCAGCAGTAGCTGTCGCAGCCGTTGCAACCGTCGTAGCCGCCGCAGGGGTCCGCCAGCTCTTGGGGTGCGGGTGTTCAGCAGGGTGCTAGTCCTGGGGTTACTGTCCCGGCGGTCCTGGAGGTAGCACCAGTGCTCGGGAGGGTTCTCGTTCTGAGGGTGCTGGTCCTAGGGGTGGTAGTCCTGGGGTTGGCAACGGTGCTGGAGGGGGTTCTCGTTCTGAGGGTATTGGTGTGGAGAGTCCTGGAGGCAGCTGTTGTACAGCCTGAGGTTCTAGTGTCGGCTTGGAGCAGCAGCTGCAGCAACAGTCTATGGATGGTAGGCGGATGACATGGTGAGTCTGGTCCCGAGCAGAGACATCAGTTCTTTCCAAAATTTACTAGTGAACTTAGGGTCTCGGTCGGAGATGAGTGTGGTCGGAATACCATGTTGTGAGATGATGTAGCGAACAAAGAGTTGTGCCGTCTCCTCGGTGCGTGCTGTCGTGTGAGTCGGGATGAAGTGTCCCATTTTGGAGAACTTGTCAATGGCAACGAGGATCGCGTCATGTCCGCTTGTGGTAGTTGGTAGCTCGGTGATGAAGTCTAGGCTGACCACTTGCCATGGCTGTTCTGGGACAGGAAGAGGCTGTAGTAGACCCGCCTTTTTGTGCTTGCTCCTCTTCATCCGCTGACATGCGGTGCACGAGGTGACAAATTTCTGTACGTCATCTGCCATGTGGGGCCAGTAGTAGTGTTTGGCGATACCGGTGAGCGTCTTGTTGCTACCGAAGTGTCCTGCGTACACGACGTCGTGGTATTCTTCGAGTAGTAACTGGCGCAATGGAGGATTATTAGGTACCCATATCTTTGTTGATCCTTTATGGTACGCGATGTCGTTGTCCCACTGTAGCAGATGTCGCTTTTCTGCCAAGGGAATTTCGGGGTCGATGGTGTACCCGTGTGTGAAGAGTCCCTTGAGGAGTGGATTCATCCCTTCAACTTGGATAGCGGCAACGTGTGCAGGCCGGCTAAGCACATCGGCTTTGTTTTTATGGCCAGGCTTGTACACGATGTCGTAATGGAAGTGTGTCTCGAGGAAGTCGATCCACCCAACTTGTCGCCTGGAGAGGCTTGGTTGCGTCTTCAAATATTTTAGGCTGCAATGGTCGGTGTTGACTGTCATCTTGCGTCCTTCGAGATAGCATCTCCACGTTTTGAAGACGATGATGATAGCAAGGGCCTCCTTGTCGTGTATCGGGTAGTTGAGTTCTGCTCTATGTAATTTTTTGCTGAGGTAGGCAATTGGTTGTGGTCCATTCCCCTGGTCTTGCATCAAGACTGCTCCCACAGCCTGGTCACTGGCGTCAGCTTCGATGACGTAGTCGCGTTCGGGGTCTGGCAAGATGAGTACGGGTGCGGAAGTGAGTGCTTGTTTCAACTGTTCCACGGCTTCTTGATGTCTTGGTTCCCAGTTATAGGGCGTGGTCTTCTTCAGCAGATTCGTGAGTGGCGCGGCGATCTCCGCGTATTGCGGCACGAACCTGTTGTAGTAGTTAGCAAAGCCAAGGAGCTGTTGTAACTCCTTCATGTTCTCGGGTGCCTTCCACGTGCGCACGGCTTTGATTTTCTTGGGGTCGACGTGAACTCCTTGAGCGCTTACGATATGTTTGAGGAATTGGACTTTCTCGAGGGCGAAGTCGCTCTTGGATAGTTTGACGTAGAAGCGTTCTCGTCGAAGAATCTCGAAGACTAAGTGTTCGACGTGTTGTTGCATATCGCGCGAGTAGACGAGGATGTCGTCTAGGTACACCACCACGCATTCATCCAAGAGTGGGCGTAGGATGTGATTCATCTCTGCTTGGAACGTTGCAGGTGCGTTGGTGAGTCCGAACGGCATCACCAGATACTCGTACGATCCATATCGAGTTCGGAAGGCCGTTTTGTGAACGGAATCATCCGCCGTTCTTGTCTGCCAGTATCCGGACCGCAGATCTAATTTTGAAAATACCGTGGCTCCCCGAAGCTGGTCGAGCAGATCATCGATTGGTGGAATCGGGTACTTGTTCTTGATGGTCTGCTTGTTGAGAGCTCGGTAGTCGATGCACATGCGCAGGCTTCCGTCCGGTTTCGGTGTGAAGAGTACTGGGGCACCGTATGGTGAAGTGGATGGTCGGATAAGTCCTTTGGTGAGGAGATACTCAATCCGCTTCTTCATGTCGGCTAGCTCCGTGGGGCTGAGCCGATATGGTGCTCGGAATGTCGGCTTCGAACCTGGTTCCTCCACGATCTCGTGTTGGTGCGTTCGGTATGGCGGTTGCTCGTCCGGGAGGTCGTCGGGAATCCGGTGTTGGTTAGCTTGACGTCCTTCTCCAATCTGGCGAGTGTCTCCACTGGGATATCTCCTGTATCACCCCAGCTGGGTAGCTGGACTCTCCTTCCTTTGTTATAGATGCTTGCGGTTCGGTTTACCCAGTTGATCTCGGGGTTGAATCATTTTAGGAAGTCTCGCCCAAAAGTCAGGTCAAGCCTTTTGATGTTGGTGATGGGGAGTGCAGGTTTCCAGCGCAGTGGCCCGATTTGTAGGTCTAGCACTGCTTCGCCGTATACTGGTAGCTTGCTGCCGTCCACCATCGTTGCAGAAAACGCTGATGGCTTGTACTCTTCTCGAAGTCGGTCGATGGTTGCCTTGTCGCATACGGTGTGCGATGCTCTGCTGTCCACGAGTGCTTGGAGGCGTCGTCCTTTGCAGATGACCTTGAGCGCGAGGGGCAGGCGTTGCTCGGAGTACCCAAAGATAGTTTCATTGATTGGGTCATAGGGTACATCCCAATATTCGTTACTTCCTACTCCTGAGCTGGCAGCTGGCCGAGGCTGCTTGGAGAACGGCTCTTCTCCTGGGCCCGGAGTTTCCATGATGACTATTCGTGTCGTTGAAGAAGTTGCCGAGTTGGATGCATCTGAAGAAGGAGTTCGGGGTTTTTGCAGCTTCTTGGAGACCCCCAGCTTTCTTTCAAGCTGCTTCAGCTCCACCGACGTCTTCCTTGGGGAACGGGTAGTCACTGTGGGCTGGTGTTGGTAGAGGACGTTGACTCCGGGGAAAGGTCGGCTTCTTTCCACACTCCATAATTTGGTCCCCAAGTTCTCCGGTACCGGTATGATCTCCACAATTTTCTGTTTCATCTGGAGTCCCTTCCGTAATTCTCCAAGGCTCTAGCCTCTCGAGAATTACAAGTTTTCATTAAAGCATCTTTATAAGATAACTTTAACAAATCCATATAATTTCTTGGGTCTTCAAGGAGTTTCCCCGTCTCGGCGAAGTCCTTTTTCGCGGAGTTAGATCTTTCCCTGTTCATTTTCTCCTGTTCGCGTCGAATCAGCTGCGTCTAGCTGGCGATCTAGTATCGAAGTTGATTTTTCGGATCTTTTCTTTTTCGCCAGCTAGATCCGCAATTACTGGCGAGTCCCATTTCCTCCACCGTTGCGTGCTCGATACTCAGCACGTGCGGCTTTCATTTTGTTGTAGTCGAAGATTCGATGGCCCGGCACCCCGCAAAAATCACACGTGAAGTTGGTGTTTTTCGAACGTGGCCGCCCTTCGAACTTGTCGACTTCCATCGGGTCGGCGAACGTGGGGTGAGCCGAGCGGTCGCCCTGTCGCGTACTACCGACGTGCGTCCATCGTGTCCCGGCCTTGACCATGTCGAAGAGTTCTGCGGCCGATACAACATCACAGTAGCTCGCTTAGTTTGTCTCTACCACTTGTCATTTGACTTCAGTCTTCAGCCCGGCAAGGTAAGACTGTACTTTTTCCCCTTCGGTCAGATCGGGAATACGGTTGTAAAATTCTTCCATCTGCTGCGTGGACTGTGCTACACTCCCGAACTGTCGATGGCGATGAATTTTTTCCCAGGCAAGAATACCCGAATTTATCGGCTCGAAACATTTCAGCAGGTCGGTGCGGAATTGCTGCCACGTGGCTTCGCCGTGGATGAACATGCTGTTACCGCCGATCCACTCGAGTGCCGGTCCTCGCATCAGTGTTGCCGCGAGTCGTACGCGTTGACCGTCCCAGACTAGGGAGCTCCATCCAACGGATGCGAAGTAGACCTCCATGCCGCGATCCATCTGCGGACGTCGGAGTTTCGATCGCTCGGATCGAACGGCTCAGGTGGGCGCGGTTTCGGAGCCTTGAGAAACTGCTGCGACTGCTGCGTTGTTGCCGTTGTCGTTTCGTGTTGTGCTCCGGCGAGTCGAGTTACTCGCTCGAACTCGTTTCGCCACGCTTCGCGATCCGCTCGCATCTCCTCCTGAAGGGCTGCGATGCTCGCGAAGAGCTGCTGGGTAACCTCGACGTTGTCGAAGGTCACCATCCTGTTCAAAACACGCGCGAGGGGGGGGGGGGGGGGGGGTAATTTACAAAACGCGGAGCTAGTGCTTACCAGAATCGGCGTCGAATTGGTCGCCCCCAGCGGTTTTCCGAGGTAGGTTTTCCCGCTGCTGCTGCTTTGTTGAGCGCGGCCGAGTGAGAAAAGCTCTGATTACCAAGTGTCACAGGATCGAATGTGTCGAGGAAAGGTTGCACTATCGATCAGTACAAGGCGCTTTTATACTTCCAAAGTACATAAGGTAACCATGTTTATCCTATCCTAAGGGAATAGACCCTTCTAGAAAATAGAATCACCCTGCGTATAGCCACGCGAGGCTATTGGCTTTAAGGGATTACGGCAGGATTACGCTAGATATAGTGTACCAGTACATCCCGAGCCTGGTCGGTGATTTAATGATAATAACAGGATATCCCAAAGGTTTATGGAAAAGGAGAAATAGGAATCCAAATGGAATGAGATAAAAACCAAATGGATAAAGATAAAAAGAGGAATGGAATGGAAAGGGAATATGGAAAGGAGAGAGGAATGGAACGGGGTCGTACTCTCACACTGATGACCCCGATTTCATGCAAATTCCAGCATCTTTCAAGCTTGATGATGCAGAAACGGAGGCTTTGTTGAACCTCATAAGCCACTCCTGTGACATTTGCTCTTGCAGTCACTATGCGTGGGATCACTTCCTTTTCCCCAAGTGCAAGCATCGGGTGAACAACAAGAACATGCTTTCCGTTGTTAAGCTGCAGCAGGTTGAAAGTATGCGCCAGCTTCCCCTTTTGTGGCCCACTGCCCCTTCACCGCCTACTTGTTCTGAACCCTTGCCCTTTTTGGTTTCTCCCACCTTATGGCTTGCCATTGCGACTAGTGTTTGCACATCGGTAGTTTCTCTATTGCCTTTCCTTTCATTTTCACCCTCCTAACCAATGCCTCTTCTGTTTCACCTTGCCTTCCCAGTTTTCCTTCTATTCGATGTCTCCCAGCAGTTTCCCTCAACCGTCAGCCAACATTCTTGGGCCTAGATCTACTGCTAGGACGATGCTAGGATACTGTACGTCGTCGTTAATGGTAAAGTCGATCTTTGGACTTGCTCGCTTTGCGACTTTGCCTGTAGGCCTGCCCTTGACTGTCCTCTCGCCCATAAAAAAAAACAAAAAAAAGACCAATGAATGTTGGCCACATCTGTGAGTATGCACACCTTCTTGCCACTAAAGAGCACTACAGCATCTAGAGCCTCATCACGTTCCAGCTGCATCCCAAGCTGAGCGCCAACATGAAGAAGCACCCTGTTGGTTCTTACGCCCAAACATGTCTGCCTACTGGGAATGCCTCATGGTGTGTGCTAGAAGGTTTCTGGAATACGCGTTGATCAATTATTATCCTAGTGCCTCAAAGTATCTGTGCCTTCAGGCTAAAGGATCTCATGGAGTCTTGTATACATCCTTCCCCTTACTTCACATGACCTCTATCTCTTTCACAATACCTACTCTATGGATGGACCTGCAATTGCACTTGCAATTGCCATTCTTATGTCATCATGTCATTCCCCCTCCGCACACGCTGCTTAAATATTTATGGACTTAATGACCGGTTCAAAATGGATTCTCTCAAAATATGGGTGGCTTCACAACCAACTCCCACTGATGTTCTTATTCCCATATTTACGCGAATGACCTGAAACTTTGAGCTCCTTGTCAGGAAGTTCCAGCCCTTTGCCCATGCACAAGCCCCCCCTATTCAAGCGCCTTCCCCTCCCCTTGAAGGAATTGATATTCTCTTTAACATATCGATCTCAATCTCCTCTTCTACCGATGGTATACTATTACCTGTGGTAGGCTATTATCCATCCATTTCAATTACACGCAAGAACAAATTCGTCTTATTGCCGTCTATGCTCCAGTCACAACTACAAAGCCGAGGAGATGGTGGAATAACTTCATATCCCTCGCAATTGAGTAGCCACCTGCTTGTACAAACACTTTGCTAGCCGGGGATTTCAGCTCGGTAGTCCAAACATTTGATAGAAACACAATATTACATGGGCATGAACATGCTGAGATTCTCCTCTATCAACAACTCATGAGAGAAGACAGCCTTGTTGACACACTTTGTGCCCTAAAACCAACTGATTTTTATTTTCTCTTACTATGGCCGCCCCCTTAACACCACCACCCCACTCCCCCTTCTGCATCTCAGCTTGACATAATTTGTATCTGTGACACGCTGCACTCTCGAATCACCTCTTCTCCCTTTGTCTTAATACCTGCTGGTGTGTTTGGTCATTCTTATGTAACTTCATGCGCCCTAGTTTTTATTAACCTACTCATGGCTCCATGACCTTGGCGCCTTAGCACCACTCTCCTATCCCCACTACACCTCTCCTGCATTTTGGAAAGGCGTGCCTTGATTTCCCGCTCTGATTCTCGGATGACAGTTTGGAATAATTAGAAGCATTAGCTTACACGACCGTAAGCGGGTGGAGAGCACCACCATCCTATTAAAAACACGCATTAGCCATCTCAAACTTCTTCTTGCCTCCACCCCAACAGATCCTGATGCATCTGCCCTCCTCCTCAAATCCACTAGGCAATATGAAGCATACGAGGCCTCTAGGATGGCCGAGTTGGCATTCAAGGCCATAGTTAAGGTCAGAACTCACAGGGAGATGGGAATCTCCTCCCTACTAGTAGTTCTTAATTCTCGGATTAAGGCCTCAAAAATCGCATTCCTAGAGCCCCCCTTCAAACAGACCATACTTCACGTGCCCCTCATATCTCGCAACTGCACTTCCTTTTTCAGTTCACTCTATAGCGGCACACACCCCAGTTTCCCCTTCCCCCTCGTTTTGGAATCTCATCCTCCCATCCTCCGATTACCACTTGCCTCAAAGCTCCTTTCTTCGTGAGAGAAGTAGAAACTGCTCTTGAAAACTAGCTTGAGAGAAGACTCCCGAACCGGATGCTTTGCCTGGCAACTTATATCGTCGACTTCACTCCTTGTTCACCAACCCCTACCATCGGATCATGACCTCTCTTCGCTCACACCTCCTCCATCCTTTGAGGTCGCATTGTTCTTATTTCCAAATGCAAGGATTCCTATCCCATAACAACCTGTGCCCGATTACACTCATGAACACAAACTACAAGGTCATCGCCTTACGCCTCGATAACCGCCTCAAGCACATCCTCCCCGACATAGTCAACCCCACTCAAATAGCCTTCATCAAGAGCTGAAAGATTAAGGATACTCTCAATGGCACACCCAACATCATGGACTGGGCGGTTGTACATTGCTCCCCCCTACTCGCTCTTATGGTTCACTTTAGGAAAGCCTACAACACGGTTGATAGACCGTTCATCTTCTCTTGTCTTTCCCACCTTGGCTTACCCTCCTCTTTCATCCACTGGGTTAAACTGTTACACTCTGACGCGTCCACATGCATGTCAGTTAATAACCTCGTTGGCCCTTTTGCGGACTAGGGTCTGGCAGGGTTGTCCTTTTGCGCCTCGTCTCTTCATATGTGTCATTGAGACATTCTATCGCCACATGTTCAACTTCCTTCCATGATTTAATTTATCAAAGGATTTGTCAGCACGCGGGGTTGGGCAATGTGACTTGATTGTGACTATGTTCAGTGCTCGATAGTCTATACACATGCAAAATCTTCCATCCTTATTCTGTATAGACACTACCGGGGCAAATGGAGACACGCTTGGCTAGACATAGCCCTTCTCCACCAAATACTCCAACTCCCTTCTCCTGCCGATATTGTTGCTGTACTGGCGGTTGCACCCCAGGCTCTAGGTCAAAATTTTTATTGCACGATCGTGCAGGTGGTAATCATGCTGGCAGGTTGACTTGATTGTTCTGTCCTATTTGTGTAGTGTCACCGCAAATACTGTACCTCAGCTACGGATTAAAACACTCGCTTGATATTGATGGCGTTGACCAGCACAGATGCTCGGCTGCTGCCACACATGTAGCTTGATGTTCTCTCTGTAACAGCAAACACTTCAACTTTCGGTTGGCCAATCGATGCGGGGGTTGAATCTTGCCAGTCAGTCGTGTTCCAAGAGCTCGTCCATGCTGTCAAGTGTTGTAACTAGCAACTCACGCTTGAACAAAAAATCCCCTCCATTTGCAGCATTGTTTTAAGTGCCTTCCCTTGATGGCTTGTGGCGTACCATCAACTAAATGCCTGTCAATCTCAAGTAAGCACCGCTCCAAGGTCAGTTGCACTTGCTTTGCAGTTGCGATGTTGACTAAACTGTGGCTTGCCCCGTAGTCTACGAACACCTTTACTATGGTTCTGTGTACTTGGGCTGGTAGCAATATAGGAACATCTGACGTTTTACCCTCCTTAGATGATCGGGTGTGGTCGATGGCGTGAATCGGAACGACAAACTAGTGGGGATAATTATAGCTGGATAAGCCACGCACTCCATTAGCAAGTCTTCCATTTGCTATTAAGTGTTGTTGTTTCCGTGCTGCTACTTCTTGCCCTTCTGCTCACTGCCTTTCTTCTTCGTGAGTTCAGGGTATCCGTACTTACGATGCCTGGGCTGATTGCACTCAAAGCAGTGCCCACAAAAACTTCCTTTGGCTGCTATTTCCGTGATCACATCACACAGCGTGGTTTTGCCATGCAGTGCGCAAGGTTGGTGACCATGGTAGGTCCCCGTGCACTGAGTGATATCGATCAAATCTCTCAACTACGACATGGATCATGTCGAAATCATG